CACACAGACAAACCCGTAACAATATGCGTTTTGTACTGCTGTTACACAGCACAAAACGCATAACAACGTAACTATACAAGGAATTTCGAAATTAATACATCTAATAAAGAAACGTGCAATGCTAATGTACTAATAGTATAAGTGTAAATATAAGTGTGGAAAGACTGCCCGAACCAAATACATGCGAAGAAGAAACCAACACTGTTATAATTCACCTTCCTTCCTTTTATTCCTTTCTTTTTAACCCTTACTTTTTGCATAAACACACATCATCTAAAATTAAAATTACAATAATGTATCGGGTGCACATGTGTTTCGTTTTGAGTGTACTAACGAATATCGAAAATCGTGCAATGAAATTAACAGTAGTGAAATGGGAATACTAAATGTATAAAAAGCATAATATATAAGAATGACGTACAATTTGACACTGAATGGAAGACTTGTTAGAAGCAGTACTGCTTACGGCCATATGCTCATATTGTTGGGCAATTAGCTCAAGCGCAGAAACCTGAAAATAAAGGCGGAAAAGTGAATGAATTTAAAAAAGAGAAAAAAGCGTTCAAAACAACAACAACAAAGAAATGGAAAACGTAATTTATTAAGATTTATTTATCTACACTGGTGGAAATGACGAACAGCAAGATTAGTTTTACGAAAAAACTGGTACATCACAAAAAAGTCCCCCAAAATTCCAAAGTTTCTCAGCTATTTCTATTCCATTATTTCTTAATAGGAAACCTCGAAAATACTTTTCATATTTTGAAATTTATTCGTACAACATAAATGTAGGATAAGCCAAATTAAAATTAATACCCATTAAGTTCAATTACCATAGTCGTCGTACTGACGAGGTCCAGTTGTGGTAATGGCAGGAAATGCATACGACTTAATGGATCGAAACATTTCTTATCATTAAAATAATTTTTATAATTTATAAATTTTGCAATTCTTATCTCCTACTTTATTTCACTCTTCCTCTTCTATCATCTGTTGTCAATATACCCCGTTTTTTATTCTATTACTGACAGCTTTGCCATAAAGCGACAATTCCCATACAGTGCGAATGTCGCCATTGAAGACGACATCTCCAATGTATGGGAACTGTCAATTTACCGCAGAACTGGAAGGAGATGGGTTTATTTTTTTACAGAAGAAGTTCTACAAAACAATCGCTGTTCGGATGAAAGTCGCTTTTCTAAATACATGTAACTGGCAAATTAGCTCCGAAAAAAAGAACAGAATATTACAAAATCTTGAACTTTTCGTGTACGGAAGACCAAGATTTTGTAATACTACTTCAAGAGTTCTTGGTATTTTAAGAGGTAAATTGTGCGATGAGAAGGCTGTACAGGAGATATGTCAGAATCACAACCGACGCAACATACCAAACACAACTGAGAAAGCTAAAAACTACCCAGGCAACGGACCGCTGCATCAATTAACAGTTGCTTCGGATATTTGCTGGCTCTGGCACCAATGAAATAGAAAGGAAAGAAAGGGACATGAAGGCCCAGTCAAAAAGTAGTCATTCCAGGCTGGAATTTAAGGGTTGCAGTAGATGTGAGGTGGTGATTTGCGGCCTTAGAAAGACCGAAGAATAACAAATAAAGTAGAGGACTGTAAAAACCGTAAGAAGTTGAGCACAGCTGAAGAATTCCATATAGTTTAAGGCTGGAAGAATAGAATTTGATAAAAAATGGTGGCGGGTAAGATAGTTGGGTTGTTGATGTGGAACAAACTGGAGTTGACAACTGTACCTGAGCGACCAGTTGTGAGAGTGATTCCTGTGCACTTTGTTCTTCCGTTTTCAACTGATTCAGATAGTCAGCAGCGCGAAACAGAATCGCCGCATTCGTCGTCTTACAGCCAACTGTGTAGAACGAAGCTGGCAACAGTTCCTTCAGCTCCTGGTAACCATTCTGAAGAGGAAAAAACACTACGGCAGATCTTTTTTTTATTATGTTATTATGGTTTTTATTATTATATATGTTCATAGTATTTTATTGAATTTTTTTAGTATGAAATTTGACATATTTTTTAAAGGGAATTTCTACAAAACACGTATCACACAAGCTAAAATAATTGAATTTTCCCTTTAATTTCTTTAAGATCAGAAGTCTAACCCCTCCCTCCCCAAATTTCGCTCCCAATCAGACGCGGAAGAACTCGGAAAATGGCCCAAGTAGTAACCACTGCCAAAAG